GCCCGGGCCGAGTGCCGCCCTCGCTGCGCCCCGTCACGCCGGCTCTGCGGAGCGGAACGGAGCTGGGCGGAGCGCGGCGCGCGGTTCCCTCGCTTTCCGAAAGGCCACCCTGGCGGCGGGGCGCCGTGACGCAGGCTTGACTCACGCGCGGGCCCGCGTCAGTGCGAGGCTTTGGGACCGCGAGCGACGCTCTGAGGGCCTACGTAGGCGGAGGGGGTGGGCAGAGGGAGGGACGGGGCTGCCCTGGCAGCAGCCTCTTGAGGCCCCTCGCCAAGGGACCCAGCCCCCGGAGAGGAGTCGCCAGGGCTTCTGCCCTCAGAGGAATGGGACCCCAATGGCCAAGGCCCTCCTGAGTCCTGAGCCTCATTTCTTCACTTCTCAGGCCCACCCAAAGTGGTTGTGCCCCCTGCCCTAGCAGTTTGCACCTCCATGCCTTTGTTCCCCTCACTTGGAAGGCCTTTCCGGCTCCATGGTCCTTCCACCCACCGTCCAGCAGCGCCATTCCCAGTGCAGTTCAGCTCCTCAATACATCACTCATCTATTGAGCTCCTACCGTATGCATGGACTGCAGGGGTTGAGATGACAGAGAGGATGGTAGGGAACCTCTGGGAGAGGCAGAGGGGGGCTTACCTAGATAGCCACAGTACAAGGCAGAAGGAAAGACCCTAGAAGACAAGGAAAGTGGGGGACAGTGAAGGGAGAGGGAAGGTCCACCTGGGCTCTGGGCAGACCTTATGGAGGAGGTGAGACAGGATCCTGGCCTCAAAAGGTGGAAGGGAAGAGGGATGACCCTTGTGGAGGGGACTGCATGGAGAGCAAAGATACATGAGAGTGGAGGTGTGCAGGGGCCATGATTGCTTGAGCTGGGACAGGGGTGGGTGAAGGTAGGGAGGCAGGAGCCATGCTCCAGGGCCTTGGAGGGCTGTTTGCAGAGTCTAGAATGAATTAACTCTGCTCTAGAGGTCATTAAAGGGACGTCAGCATTAGACACTGTTGTTTGGGAGGGATGGGAGGTGGAGGCTGTCTCAGCCGTCCTACTGAAGGGCAATAGGGCTACTGTCATGAACTCCAAAGGCTCTGAGATTTTACCCTTATAATCTAATAAGTTAGCCTGCGACAGTTTTATGGGTGTTGGCAGAAGACATGAGACTCCTGGGCCAGAGACAAAGGACTTTATTATTCAAGGCAAAGCAGGAAGTTTGAGCTTCAAAGTCAACTCAGTTTATCTTAACCCCAAGTCCATAGGAGGAACTGGGACTGTGCTCAGGTGATAATGCACATGCTGGGGAACCCAAGCTTAGGAAACCCCAATCTTTTATAATGGGCTGCAAGCAAACCTGCCCAACCTTTGTCCCAGATATTGTTACACTTACCATTATTATCCTGGACAGTAAACAAGCCTGTCATCTGCTGGGGAGACACTGTCTCCAACTTCCAAAGCTGTTTGCTCTGCAAACATCCTCAAAAAGAGAGTCTGGAACAGAAAGCCATCAGTGCCTCCTCTTTTAGAAACAAGATGAGCAGGCCCTTCTCAAGCTTGCAGTTTTGCTCCCATCTTTAACAGGTTCTGAAGGCCCCTCTTCAGCCCTAGCCTCATTTCACACACCCCTCCCCGTGGCCTTTCCTGCAGCCCGCTGCCTACCCCGACCTTCTCTCAATGTTTCAACTCGCCCACTCCCTCCTGACTCAGCCTTCAGCCCAGGTGCACTCTGTGCTGGGAAGCCACTAGGTCCCCTCCTCCTCTAGGATGCCTCCTCCTGCAGGACCCCCTCCTGCCCTCCCCTCACTCCCTGCCCACTCACCTATAGAGTTCACCTTGGACCCTACTTCTTCATGCCTCCCCTGACCATGGAGAAGAATTCGGTCAGCCTCCCAGGTGGACACTTCTTCTCCTTAGTAGCCTTTGTCACAAGAGTAGTTAAGTATTTAATGGTGTAACAGGCTGCTGAGTGATGGTCACCTTGGCTGATGTGTACCTTCCACAGGGCAGAGATCGTGCCCACCTTCAAAACATAAAAAAGAATATATAATTCAGTAACGTGATAGGATGCAAAATTGACGTGTAAAATATCAACCTTCAAATATACCAGCCAGTGAAAAGATATAAGAAACGAATGCTTCAGTTACAAGGGCAATAACCAAAAAAACAACACTTGGAATAAACTTTAAAAGATGTGTAGGAAATTGTACATGAAGAAAGAGTCTGAATGCTACCAAGAGATTGCAAAGGACACTGGAACATAAGAAAAGAAATTACATGCTCTTAGATTGGAAGAGAAAACATAATAAACACGTTAATTCGCTCTAAATGAATCTACAGTTTTAAAATGATTTGATGACAGTAACAAAAGGGTGAGGTATTTTTTTCTTTTTAACAGGACAAGCTGATTCTAAGGTTCACAGGGAAACAGAAATAAGCAGTCAGCGAGGGCAATTACCAGGGGAAGCAATGGGTGGTGGGGACTCGCCCACCAGCCCCTGAAGCACATTGGGAGGCTACGGGTTGAAGTTCGTGTGGTCCTGGTCCTGAGAAACACACGAGGCAGAGCCCAAGGCCCAGAAGTGAACCCAGACCCAGCCACTGAGAAGATGGTAACGATTACATTTCAAGTGAGCGGAGGAAAGGCAGGTTTTTAATAAATGGCATTGGTTTGGCCATTTGAAAAGAAATCAGTTTATATGCCAATATAAACTGTAGCTGTACTGAGAAGAATAAATGAACAAAAATAAGCAACAGGGCCCTGGCTGGTGTTCTCAGTGGTTAGAGCATTGGCCCCTGCTCCGGAGGGTCTTGGGTTGGATTCCCACTCAAGGGCATGTATCTGGGTTGCAGGTTTGATCCCAGGATGGGATTGAACATCGATGTTTCTCTCTCTTTCTCTCTCTGTCTCTATCTCTCTCTCCCTCCCTCCCCTCCACTCTCTAAAAAAATCAATGGAAAAAAATATATCTTTAGGTGAGGGTTAACAAAAAAAGAGAGAGAGAGAAAGAAGGAAAGAAAGATAAAAAGAAAGGCCATAGGGAAGCAGTGCTTAGAGGGGTATCTAACACCTTCAAGGGATATATGAAAAAGACAGAGACTGCAAATCAATGAGCCGAGCATCCACCTCAAGAACTTAGGAAAACAGTGGAAGGCAATGATAAAGTCGATGTCAAAATTAATGCAATAGGAGAGCAAACATACAATAGAGAGGATCATCGAAGTCAGAAGCTTGTCCTTTGAAAAGCCTGATTTTTTAACGATACCATAAAAGAAAACAAGGGGAAAGATTGTTATAATGTTGAGTGGGAAGACCTTTCTAGGTGGGATAGCATCACTCCCTTCACCTTCTGCGCTTTTGTTCCCCAAGTCGATGACCACCATCTGGCACTCGAGTCATTTCCCTGTTTATTGGCTTGTTGTTGGCCCCCCAACTAGATAAACCCTGTCTCCCCAGCACCTGGAAGAGTCCTGCCCTACTGCAGGTGTTTAGAGATATCTGTTGAGTGACTGTTTAGAAAGTTGGGGAGGTATTTCTTTAATGTATAAAGAGTTCCTAAAAATCAATAAGAAGAGAGAGGGATATAAAGTTCATAGAAAATAAAATACAAGTGGATCTTACACACATACAAAGATGCTCAATTTCATCCATACTGGAGAAATGCACATTGAAAATGAGATACCGTTTTTTACCTTATTATGTTGGCAAATAATTTTTTTAAAAGGTCAATAACACACATGTGCTAACTGGAGAAGAGTTTAATTGTATAATCACTGTGGAAGATAATGAAATCATATTTATCAAAATTACAAAGGCACATACCCATGGCCCATTAGTGTCTATCCATCAAAGTTTTGAAGGCACAGGCTTTATGTGTTTTTGCACATGTGTTGTTTAAAGACATTTATTTAAAGATCCTCCTTGTAGCAGCAATTTTAAAAAATGGAAACAATTTAGATGCCTATCAACAAGGAACTGTTGAAATAATTTATGGCACCTCCATGCACTGAAATTCTTTGCAGCCATTAAAATGAACAAGTCTGCTCTCTATGCTCCGATTCCGAAACGTCTCCAAAATGTACTGTTAAGTTTAAAAAGGATACAAAGTGGTGTGAGAGGGTGTGAAATATTTGTGGAATGATACATAAGAAACTCATACTAGTGCTTGCCTCCAGGGTGAGGAACTGTGTGGCTGGGGCAGGGCTGGGAGAAAGAATTACTTTTAACCACATACCTTTTACATTTTATACCACACTGTACCGTGTATATTCAATATATCCCATCTGCTTCTATATGTACCCGAGATCTCTAGAAAGGGATGCCTGAAGCTGGCCACAGTGACTTCCTCTGCAGAGGGGACTGGAGGCTGGGAAACTTGGTATTGGACTTACCTTCCTTTTAAATTTTCTTTGACCCTGTGCATTTATTACCTGCTCATTAAAACAGCAAAATGCATTTCTCCTTGCTCCTCTAGACTGCCCCTCTCTCCCGGGTCCCCGCCTACTCTCCTGTCCCCTCTGCCCAGGCACGCTCCACACGGACTGTGGAATCGGACAGGTCAGGGTTCGCGCTGACTCGGGGCTCCTCGCCCTCACCCGTAAAAGTGGGGTAACAGCAGTGTCTGTATCGCTGGGTGCGGTGAGCGTTCAGTGAGACAGCACATCCCCAGTGGGTGCTCAGGAAACAGCAGGTACCCTCAGGGCTGCCTCGCTTTTCTGGAACCCGGCTGAAGGCCCTGAAGGGCCCCTGCGGGACCCTCCCAAGCCTCACTCTGCAGCAAGTGCTTCCTCCAGACTAAGAAGGAAGCAGCCCAGCATCTTCTAAGAGTCACTGAGAGCTGCAAGCACATCCCTCTGGTTGGTACTTGGGGGGATGGTCTGAAGGAGGGTGACCCCACTTGCCCAGCATCCGGGGCCCCAAACTCCCAACTTGGGAGGAAGCCTTGTTTGTAAACAGGAGGGGCGGGTCTGCTGTAGGAGGAACAGCAGCAGCTGGGACAGAGGAAGGGAGCGGGCTGTGCCCCCCACCCCAGGCTTGGGGAGGGAGAATCAGAAGCAAAACCTGCCTCCCCCCAGGGCCAGCATGGAGCTTTCTGTACCTTAGTCAAATATAGACCCATCTCCATAAAAGCACCAGCCTGCTTCTATAAATACCTCAGCCAATTTTCCAGGGTTCTCATGTGACTTTGATGCCTACCTCGGCTGCGGGATCCGTCGTCATGGTGACCAGGCCATGTGACCAGCCGCTCTTCATTCATGGCAAGTTGCCGCATCCTGGATTGGGGGAGGGGGAAGGGGTGCTGGGGTGAGGGGGCTGGAGGTAGGGCCAGGAGAGGCAGAGCGGCATAAACAATGAACAAAGATCCAGCTTCCAGTCTTGGGGGGAGACTGCAGGATTCTAGCTTTTCTGCAAGGATGCTCGGGCAGAATTATCTATCTTCCCGAGCTGCCTGTCAGAGCAGGGACATTTTATTTGTGCAGCTATAGACATCTTGTCTTTGAGTCAGAGGAGCAAGGGTTCAGGGCTGAAGGCACCTTAACAATCCTCCAGGCCACGACTCTTGTCAGATGAAGAAAGTCAAGCCCAGCAAGGTGGAGTGACTTGTCCAAGGTCACACAGCAAGTCGGTTGCAAAACTAGGGCAAGAAGCAGAGTGTGTGTCATTAACAGGCTCCTCTCCGCCTAATTCAGACTCAGCTCTGGACTGGAGGTGATAAATGAGGAGAGGGGATAATAAATCGGGACAAGTCCCAGCAAAGGCAGATACCATCCTCCATAATCTATGGGAATCTTTTTTTGATCAGAACATCCCAGATCTGCCCCCATCTGTTTAAATCCCCCAAGCATCACCCTGTTCTTTGTCTTTTCTTGCAAGATGCTGGAGGTAAGATGAAAAGGCAGGAAAAGACCCTTCCTGCCCCCACAGAGCTGCCCTGCTAGGTACATGGATAAGCAAAGAGAAGAGCCTTGTTAACCAACAGCTGTGCTCTGGGGACTCTAGGGTCTGGATATAAGGTGGGTCACAGAAGTCGGGGAAGGCTTCTAGGAGGAGGCGGGAAGGCAGATGGATGGAAGCGTTCTCAGAGGTGCCTGGCTGGTGGCAAAGGCCTGGGTATTCGGGCGGGGGAACAGTGCTCTGACTGGGGTTGGCCAAGTCGTAGGATAGGATGCTGCCAACCGTAGGGCTGATTCACGTAATCCAATCACATGGGCTCGAGCAGCCAGTGCTGAATGGTCCAGGGGGAGATGGATTCTGATTAGACAAAGGAACGCTGGCCTTGGAATATTCCCGAAGGAGACAGAGAACAAAAGCAGGCGTCAGTGGTGGACTCCGTCACCACCTGGCCTTGGGAAAGACGTCCAGCAGGCTCCACGGGGATTAAAACCCACTGGAGGCTGGTGGCAGCTCAGGGCAAGGCTTGGTCTCCCTTATTCGTCACCTATGCCATCTCCATGGAGCCGAAGACACAGCCCACCTGCCCCTGCCCCACCAAGTGTTAGCCGCTGAACAGGGGACTGTCCCCAACCTCAGAGGTAAGGGCAGTTAGTCTGGTGAGGGAGGCTGTGCCACCCCACATGCAGGCACAACCAGCTGAGCAGTGTGTGTGTACCAAGGCCACCAGCTGCCGGAGTCAGAGCCAGTGCCCAGCCGTGTCTGTAACCCTCCCCTGGCTCAGAGCAGGGCGAGGAATGAGGCACAGACTCATTCCCGACTGGTTGGCATTAGCTCGGGGTGCAGACAGAGCACTGCTTTGGAGACTGGCCTGACTCAGTCCTGGCTCTGTCCCCTACTCATGTGGCCTTGGGGAGTTTGTTGACACTCTCTGGGCCTCAGTTGCTTATTTATAAAAGGGGATCATGTTATCTACTTTGAAGAACAGCTGTGAAAATTATTCTGAAGTGTCTGGCACACAGAAAATGATTTTAAAATCAGTGGCCTCTGTTCCAGTGGGTAGATGAATGGGTGCCCTTCCTCGTGGGGGGGTTCCCAGTTTCCATGCTCACTCACCCCAGAAGTCTCCTGGGCCTTCCCACCTGGCACCTTCCTGTGCACCATCCAGCCTGCCTAGAAGCTTCTCCCACTTGGCTGCGCTCATTCTTCAAAGCCCCATTTCAATGCCACTGTCTCCTGCTGTCTTGCCTGGTCCCCTACAGCCCACAGGATGTCCTGGGGCGACTCTCTCGGCACTTATTACTGGCTGGTGCTGTCCTGCAGCACAGAGTGCACCTTGCCTTCAATAGCAGTGATAACAAGAACTCTCGTATGGAGCATCATTTACTGCACTAAGAACCTAACAGGCACAAGGCTCAGAGAGGGTGAGTGACTTGTCTGTGGTCACACAGCTAAAATCCTCACCATTAATTGCGTGTGTGTGTGTGTGTGTGTGTTAATCTTCACCCGAGGATATTTTTCCATTGATTTTTAGAGAAAGTGGGAGGGAGGGAGAGAGAATGGAATATTGACGTGAGAGAGACACATCGATTGGTTGCCTCCCGCCGCACTCAGCCCTGGTTGGGACCGAACCTCAGGCCTTTGGTGAGAGGGCCAACGCTCTAACCACTGAACTTGGACTTGAGTGCAGACCCACACCGGCACCATTCTCAGGGCTCCTGCACATCCTTTTACTGCTTTCCCAACAACAAAGCTACAAAGCACACACTCTTAGTATCCCCATTGCACAACTCAAAGCTTCAAGAATCCAGAAACTTGCCCAGGGTGACATAACCAAGTGGCAGAGTTGGGATTTGACTCAGATCCGGCCAACCGTGATTCCACGTGGCCTCTCCACAGATAAGTGATGCTAATTACTTGTCCACTTCTGTTGTTCAAGCAGGACTCACAAATCCCACTTCACAGATGGAGGGGGAAACACCTGAAGGCGTTAAATGACCTGCCCAAGGTCACGAGCCAGCTGGTAGCAGAGTCTGGTCTCGAACTCAGAGCTCCTAAACCCTGTGCTCTCCTCTCTCCCTCGCTCCCTGCTGCTCCTGCTGAGATTCTCAACATGGAGACACGGAGACTCTGGGACCTGGGCCAGCAAGTTGGCCACAGGCCTCAGCCCGGGCACAGGAAGCCTCCAGCCATGGAGGAGTTTGCTTTGAAGACAAAGGATGACTGACTCCTGGCAAGGAGTGTGGTTCTTGTTTCTGCTCCAGACAACGGGAAGCTGCCATGGATTCCATGATAAATCTTTTTGCTAACGATGATGCATCACTCTGCGCTGGTTATGTGCACAGTCCCTGGATATGCTACAAGTCAATTACTAGGACCAAGTTCTCAGCACTGAGCAGAGATATTTTCATTGAGTGGCTGTAACAGAGCCAGAACTTCCCAGGGATTCAGCTGGGAGGCTGCTCTACTTCGAGTCTGATGCGGGTGACTGTGCAGCAGTGAGACCTGCCCAGGAGCCCCCGAGGAAGGTGTCCCCGAGTCCCATCATGATGGCTTCCACTCTGTGTTGGCCCCTGAAGTCATCACAGGCTGCTGGGCCAGCCAGGATCTGTCTGCCCATTTTATTTTATTTATTTTTAATCCTCACTTGAGGATTTTTCCATTGCTTTTTCAGAAAGAGAGAGAGAAACATCAATGTGAGAGAGACACATTGATTGGCTGCCTCCCGCATGCACCCCATCCAGGGCCGAGCCTGCAACCAAGGTTCGTGGCCTTGGCTGGGATCGAACCCAGGACCCTTCAGTTCATCAGCCAATGCTCTAACCACTGAGCCAAACCGGCCAGGGCAGTCTTCCCATTTTAGAATCGCCAGACTAATGGGCCCTCACTCTCAGTTGTGTGGATTTGGGGAATGCATCACCATTCCAGGCCAAACCCTAAGAACAGAGCTGCAAACGGGACCTTGTTCCCTGGCCCCGAGTCTCAGAAGCACTTCCCCTGTGCCCCAAGGAGCTCCTTACCTGAGCCCTGAGGGCTTCCAGTCATCACTGTGCCCTCCCCCTACCAAAGCCTCTCCGGCATCGCAGCTTGCTGAGGCTGACCCCTGGGAACAGCGAAGGGCCCGCAGATCCAGCCTTCCCTCACCCTCCCAAGCCCTAAGTGAAGCACACCCTATTCTTCCCAGGCCAGAAATTTTAAACCTAGTATGTTTGTTGCTCCAAGAGGGTCTTCCTCTGGCCTGACTGTGGCGCTCAATGTTTCAGAACCAAGATTTGAAGTCCAGCAAGGATCTGGGAGATGTGGGCTTCATTTACTGCTGTGTGACTTTGGGCAGGTCTTGAACCTCTCTGGGCCCCAATTTCCTCATCTACAAATGTGGGCAATAGTTCTTCCTAGCTCCAAAATACTAAGATTCATCCTCTGGGTTTCCAAGAAGGCAGTTGGAGCATAAGATGAGGGGGTTGGGATGGTAAGAAATAGAGAGAGGAGAGATTAAACGGAGAGGGCAGGGGTCTGAATCACAGAGAACTTGAATGTCATGCTTCAAAGCTTAGGTTTTATTTTAAAGCTAACGAAGAACCAGGGGAATATTTTAAGCATGGGAGTAGAGTTGTCAGTTTTAGCAAATAAAAAATACCAGACATCTAGCCAAAGTTGAAGTGGGCATTCTGTATTTTATCTGCACCCTTGCATGGGAGTGATAGAGAAAGCCTTTGGCCACTGAGCGGAGGGTGCGTCGGAGGAGATAAAACGGGGAGCAGAGAGACCACCTAGGAGGTTATTATCACATTCCAGGCAATCGTCACAGAAGTTAATATTTGTTGAACGCTCGTTTCTTGCCAGGCACTTTGCTAAGTATTGTGTGTGTATAAATTGATGCAGGTTCAGGTGTGCCTGGCGCTCAGCTCCCAGAGCAGGTTTTACCCCTTCAGCTCTGAAACCACAGCGACAGCCGGGGCCCAGCTGAGCTGCGTTTCAGGCGCTGTGAGTCCAGGTGGTCTTCCTGCAAGTGTCGCTCCACCTGTAAGAAGGGACCGCTACCCACAGCAGCGTCAGCACGGGGACCAGAGGAGGGAAATAAATGGGAAATGGGATCCGTGTTCCTCTCTCCTCCTGCCTCTGCCACCACCCCTCCCCCTTCCACCCTCCGCCTCCCTCTGCCCCC